GAGGAGCCGGGCGGCTTACGAGTACACGGAGGCGGAGGACAAGAGCATGCGGCTGGGTTTCCTCCTTATCGCCGCCGGCTTGCTTTCCCTGCTGGGTTTGGGTTGTTGCTGGCTTCGCCCGGCGCTGCAGGAGCGGGGGGGCGGCGGCTCCGCCAACTGCACGGTGCTGGCGGTGCGGCAGCTGGGGGAGCGCTTCGCCTGCACCTTCTCCTGCGGGGCCGCCTGCCGCGGCACCGCCCGCTACCCCTGTCTCCAGGTCCTGGTCCGCACCTCCCGCTCCTCCGCCCCTGCCCTGCTCCATGAGGACGAGCGGCAGCTCCGCACCAACCCCAAGGTGAGCCCCGCGCAGCGCCGCGCTCCCAAAAGGAGGAGAGGGGTGGCGGGGTGTCCCGCAGGGCAGGGTGCCCTTTCGCCGCCTCTTTGCGGTCCGGGTCCCCCGCAGCCGCCCGCCGTGCGGGAGCGGGTTTTCCTCAGCCGGGGGCGGGGGGTGTGGATGAAGGCGCGGAGCATCCCTCCAAAACGTCCCTGTGCTGTTAGTCAGCAAAAAGTATACAGATATAGTATATATGTAAATATGCCGCACATGGTATGTATCTCTATGTGATGTGTGGGTATATATCGTGTGTGTGTATATTTACATACTGCATACGGTACAGCGTTTTACTATACAATACTACTATACTATTTATTTAGCCTAACACGATGCACAGTACAGTGTTACACTATACCATACCGCTGTACTATATAGAGAGTATAACACTGTATGTAGTGTGTATATGTAGTACGTACGTAGAGTGTATATAGAGTTATAGTGTCTATCTATGTTTATAGTATGTATATATAGTGCACAGGGAGTTCTAGTGTATATACAGTGTATCATAGTATACGTATATTTTTATATCTAGTGTTTACATAGAGTACACCTATAGTTTTACTATATCGCTATACTATATATATAGCATAACACTATATATACACACACACGCTATTTATGTATAGACAGAATTCTTTTTTCCCCCTGAAGAATCCCAGTCCTGGACTGTCCCTCTGGCAGGAGCGCTGCCGCCCCAGCCCCGGTGGCCCGAGCGCAGGGGCGCGGTGGGGGGCTAGGGGGTGACTCCGTGGCCGGTCCCCGGTCTGCCCTGCCGGCAGCCCCGGGACGCCCGTGGGGAGCCAGGGAGAAGCTCTTGCTGCCGGTGAGGGGTTGTCTGTCTGTCTGTCTGTCCCTGACTGCGTGTCCCGGAGGATGAGGGGCTTCCCGGAGCAGCTCCCCAGAACCCAAGGCGAGACTTTAACGGAGCTGCTGCTTGCTGACCAGGCACTGGGGAGAGGGCTGCACTGAAACAGAAGTTTCCTCGGTGCTGTTTTCATTCTTAAACTTTTCCATCACCCACATGAAAACGGACCAAACAGAAGCATCTTTAAAGTTGCATCTTCTAGCAAACTAGGGTAGTCTGATGACAACGTACGACCTGTGGTTTTTTTTTCTTTTTAAAGGCAGTTACTCTTTGTCCTTTTTCTTTTCGTGTCCTTTCTCTTTGCTTTGAGCAACCTGATCCATGGCAGGGGGGTTGGAACTAGATGATCTTTAAGGTCCTTTCCAATCCAAACCGTTCTGTGATTCTATGATTCAGAGTAAAGACCACCTTGCCAGTATACTGCTTGCATGGAGGAGATTTTAAAGTTTCCAGAAAATAAAAAATGTGTCAGAAACACCCCTCACATACACACTTCCCCCTGAAAGAATCTGAACTTCGGTGTGTATTGGAGAAGTAAGTTTCAGCTCTTTGATGGAGATGTGGCTGCAGTGCAGAGCCAAGGCTCATGCTAAGCACAATGCAGGGGTCTGCATGCAGGGCTGGGGACCAGACTTGTGTGTCCAGTTTGGGATGTGTAGCTTCACATCTTTGCAGTCATAATTACACAGGTGTGGCTCTGTCCCTCAGAAGGTTGTTTAAACTGCAAGCTCAGAGTTTGGGGGTTGCTTTTTTCCCCTTGGCAGCTTGTGGGCTCAAAAGGATAGTTAGGGCAAAAATCAGCAGAGCAAGAAGCAGGACAGTATGTCTTGATAGGATTTGGATTAAATTGTTGGCACATCTCAGAAGCAATGAGTGATGAAGCTGCAGTGTCAGATGGTGCCTGAGAACAAAGTGGATGAAATGGCCTGTGAGGGAGCTTTGTAAACTTCACCTTTCCCTGGGGGTGCTGCTGCTAGGCTCCCGGTGCACCATGAGCACCCAGCTGTCCAAGCACCAGGACTCCCCTAAACCTCTCTCTATCTTCAGGTGGGCTGGGGGTGGTTGGCGAAATGCCCTTTTGACATGCGGTGAAGATGCCGTGTTGCCGCAGAGGGGGCAGCGTGGCCATGCCTGAGCACAGCCAGATGGCCCGTTGTGGCCATCTCCAGCAGGGATGGGGGGTGCAGGTGGGTGATGGGTGGGGGGTGAAGGGTTGGGGGAGGTGAGCCGTGCTGCCAGCACACCTGGGCTCAGCAGCTCTTGCAGCAGCCTCAGCTTCAGCAGAGGCTTTCAGACTGGGCTGCGACTGCCTCTCTCAGTAGTCAAGAGTGTTTTGTGTTATTTTTACTTCTTGATCTTGTCTTCTCCTGACTTTCTGGAAGTGGGAAGAGGAGAATTGCAACTGTCTGGGGGCTGGATTGCAATTTCTGCAGGGAGGCACCTAGAGCTTCAGAAGCAATGCCCGTAAATGTCACTCAGAAGCCTATTTTTATTTAACAATTATTAGGAAAACACAGGGTTGTGTTGGCAATGTGTCGTACTTGCATACTCCTACAAATGTAATCCGTTTTCTCCAGCTTGCATCTTGCATCTCTAGGTGTGGGTTATTTACCCTGGGATATTGACTGCCAAGAATTAAATCTGATTTACCAGATGAGACCAAGCAAAAAGGATGTATTTTTTGATGTAACCTATTCTCTGGTAGTAATTGAACTTAACTAAGTGAAAAACAACATAGAAAAAAAAAAAAAAACGCACTTGGATTATTTTCCTTACCTTAAGGAGTTTATGTAAAACCAATACAAAATAAGAAAACTTGTTTAGGTCTCATTAAGAAAACACATCCTTTTAAAGGAATGAAGTATGTATAGCTGTTGCTTTGGTTTTCCTTTTTTTCTCAATTTTAATGTCTGTTTAGCTGAGCGGTTATATCCTCCTTATAATTTTTGTCCTAAAGTCTCACTGTCTTTAAAAGCTTTCAGGATTTTATGTTGAAATAGATTAGTCGTACCAACAGAGTATGAATCTGCTGGATTTAATGTCTGGGATCCGGTATGCACTTATGAATGAAGACTTAGGGAGACGTTTAATCCGTCCTGTTTCCATCGCCTTCTTGCAGCATGCTTGTTTGCGTTCATGCAATTAGACATACAACATGCTAATCAGTTCCAGCTAACTAGAAGGAAAAAAATACCCAATTTTGTTTTGAGCAGTCTTTAAATTTTATATTCTGTTTAGCTGCTTCTCTTTGTAGGGTAGCAATTTTCCCTGGTAAAATAGTGCAGAAAAGGCAGAGTTCAGACTCCTTACAACACACAACAATACTGAATCAGTTGGCAGCTTCACTCCACCGCAAAAATCCCCAGTGTATTGGACTAAAAATATTCTACTTTCTGTAGTAGAGTGGGCTGGCATATAAACATATCAGCAGTTATGAATCTGTCTGTTCTAACAAGGTCTAGCTACAGGAAAAAGAATTTTCTTTTTTTTCTCTCTTGCTTCCTAAGATAATCACATCATTGTACAGCCCAGGATTCATTTTAGCTCTTAAAAGATTATATAGCTGGGTCAGAGTTAATCCAGAAATGTATATATAAAGCACTGTGCACAATTACATTTGTATTGAGTCCAAGTGATTTGTGGATTTCTTTTTTTTTCTCTGCCTTTTTTTTTTTTCTTTCTTTAATTGTTGTCTCAGAGGAAGAAATTTCAGCAGAGGGATGGTAACCTTTCTTCAGCTGCCTTGATAACAATAATCTCTGAGATAAGGTTTAAAGGGGATTAATTCCAAAGACAGTTTGTTGCTATTGTTCCTGGCCATCGAGTGCATCGGTGGCACATACAGCCAGCGCGGGGGCTATAGATTTGTTTGGGTAAAAAGCAGAGTCTGTCATCTGCTAAAAAGATCTGCTTTCTGGCTTTAGAGACTTTTTCCTTTCTATGCTTAAACATGGGGCCAGAAGAACCAACACACTGTTTTGCTGAAGCAACTTTTGGGGGAGCAACTGTTGAGCCTGCTGTTAGCAGCCGCACAGCAGGACCTGGTTTTCCTCATCTCTGTGACCAGGCAGGGGAGCAGAGCAGCCAGCCACTGCTCCTTGTCTTTGCTCTGTGTCCACACCTGCCTCTGTCGTGCTTCTCTCTTTAACCACTCAGCCAGATGAGATGATGTACAATTCTGTGTGCTTGCAAAGAAAATTGGTTTGTTGTTTTGCACTCTTAAATACGGCTCATGACAGAGGAGGTGTAATACCAAAGTATGCCCAACCTATAATAATTTTGTGAGGGTCTGGTACATCTGGCGAAGCATCAAATCTGTGTTTGGGCTGGTGCCTGTGATGGTCAAACTGCAGATGCTGCCTAGCAATTCCTCTGGAAGCAGCCTTGGGTGCTGCGGATAAACCCCTTCATCCTCCCGTCTCACATGGGATGCCCCTCACTGCCTCGAGCCTTCATGAGGGCTTGTGGCTTTCGTCACTCCTGGTGGGTTTGTCTGTGCTGACAGATGAAGGTGAAAACCAGATGTGATGTTCAGCTACGGGTCCCTTGGTAGAGTCAGCTGGGAGGGGAGCATTTTTTTGTGCTAATGGAGTGAGTGCCCCTGCTCATCTCCTGCCACAGTGGGATGGTTGTTGCAGTGCTTCCTCCCTTCCAGACCACGAAGATAACCCAGTAAAGCATGGAGGTGCTCACACACAAAATTAGGAGAAGCTCATACATTGCTTGGAGTGGTGGGTTGACCTTGGCTGGCCACCAGGTACTCACCAAGCTGCTCTATCAGTCCCCCTCCTCAGCTCGACAGGGGAGAGAAAGGCTCATGTGTCAAGATAAGGACAGTGAGAGATCACTCACCAATTACTGTCACAGGCAAACTAGACTTGACTTGGGGTAATTAATTTATTGCTAATCAAATGAGAGAAGGATAATGAGAAGTAAAAACGAAAACTTAAAACACCTTCCCTCCCATGACTCCCTTTTTCCTGGGCTTAACTTTACTCCTGATTTCTCTACCTCCTAGCCACCAGTGTGGTGCAGGGGAATGGGGGTTGTGGTCAGTTCATCACCTGTTGTCTCTGCCATTCCTTCCTCCTCAGGG